AATTAATCAAAGTTTATTCTTAGGGGTAATAAAAGAATAGGAGAGTTTACATTAAAAAAAAATATTTTTCTGAAAGTTCCATTTTTTTGGGTAAACTCCTTTTTTAAGTTTTTTTTTTTTTTTCCAAATAAACTTTACGCATAAAAAAAAATTTCTGCGTAAAGTTTCTTACATAAACTCTTTTTTTAATTTTTTTGACCTAAAAATGAACTTTATGAATTTTTTGCATAACGTTGTTTTTGTAAACTTTGATTGTTTGAGAAAATTGGTTTCTAAAATGGCTAAAAAGTAAAAATTATTTTATAAAATGATTATTTTATGTATCTCTTGAGATTACAATATTAATTATATTAAAATATTTTATACAATTAATAAACTATTAATTTTAAGTCCTGAACATTTAATTTCTAAGTTTCTTAATTGGTGGGAACATAATACAAAAAATATTTCTCCCTCATGTAATTATTTTTTAGAAGTTCTTCAATTTTGGAGCAAAATTTTGAAAAACCTCCGAAAATATTCATTTTATTTGTTTCGGATAATCTATTCATAACAATTTCAAACTGTCATAGGAAAAACAAATAGAACGAATGTAAAATAAAGAGAATGAAATATGTAAATCTCATTACACATAAACTCTTTATATGGGGATGAGTTACAAATAAATAACTACAAGAACTATCAATTATAATATATTTTTAATATATTTATCTATATTTATATCATCATATTCTTTATACGATTGCACATTCATTAAAAAAAACAAACAAAATTGATAGATAATATTTGTTTTTGAATAATTTATTTGATTTTAAGAAAACATCATTTCTACTCATATGCTGTACACGCTACATAGCACATGTTTTAGGCCTTAAAATTGACAAAGCAGATTATTTTAGATTTAAGTAGAAAACAAATATAACCTCAAATATTTGAAGGGTAAATTTTGTGAAATTCACTTTCTCATAATTTATGTTAAAAGAAAATAACAAGTTTAGTCTGTGTTTTCATAGTTGGTTCTAAAAAAACCATTTATGAAAATAATGATATATGAAATTTACATTGGTAATGCTTTTAAATTATAATAAATAAAAATTATAATAGTTAAAAATATTTATTACAAAAATAAA